TCTCCCAAACAAAATTAGAAGAGATCCAAAGAAACACAACGCAAAGCACCAGATTCCACGGTAATGTTCGAGTCTAGCCTACAAGCCCAAGCATGGGAGACCTAGAACAACAGCCCCACCCAGGCAATTCCTCACTACTTTCCGGGGAAACCTCACAGGCGGCCACGGCCACGGCCCCAAACTCGAAGCGATTCCTGTGAGAGGCTCCATTGGCCCGGGGGCATCTTCAAGCCCTGGCTGCACACCGCGCCCTGGAGCCGATCTGCGCCTCGCTTAACGGGAGCCGCTGGTCTTTCCTTTGCCATGGAAGCCACCGGAGAGCTGTGGCTCAAAAAACCGGTGCCAAAATGGATCCCTGGTAAGTGGAAACGTGGACCAAAACCTGCGTAACCCCTCCTGTTTAATTTTCAGCCACACCCAAATTTGAACATTTTTTTGTTGGAATCCTTTGAAAATCAGGTTGGGAACCATTTTGGGGACCAGGTTGAAAACCAGGTCCAAAAAACCATTTGTTGGTTGTTTGTTTGTTTGGGAACCATATGTTGGGAAAAGATGTTGTTTTGTTGGTCGGGATCCTTGTGTGAGGTTCCAGGTTTGTGGATGGGAGGATGTGTGGATGGTTTTGTTCTGATATAGATTTATTGTGACATATCATTGTTAGTTTGTGATACGGCTACTCTAGTTGCAACAACTTCTCGGAACTTCCCGTATTAATTAATTTACGGCCGACTTTCTGTGATACCAACAAAAACACCTGGTCACCTTAGTGATTAAGTCGTCAGTGGAATGACCCAGGGTGATCTTCCACAACCATGAGGCCCATAGAACCCATCAGAATACTTGGTTGTTTCTCGGTTGCTCCGAGACTCAAAACAATGAAGTAACCACAATAGTAGAAATATTGGGAGTGGGTATTCTTGTTTTCCTTTGGACCAGCTTTCTTCTCAAGAATGTTGACGGATCTTTGGAGCTACCAACCCGTTACTAGACTTGGCAGTTGTTTTTCTTTTTTTTTTGTGTGTTTAGCGGTTTGTTATGGCTGTTTTCGGACCTTTTCATTTGAACCTGCGAAGAGCAATGACCTCTTTTAGCACGTTGCATTTCAATCAACATTGAATGTGGACCATCATCGAACATCTTTTTTGTCACGGGCAACAACTGAGCTATCGCGTTCACTGCTCTCGCTGGCGTTCTTGTTTTCCGTTTGAGGCCCATGGCCCATTCATTCTCGTGGGCTCCGGAAAATGGACATGGAACACCAAAAGCCTTATGTGTGCATCCATCGACTTCTCAATGTGAACACGTGCCCTTTTCTTGCAGACGCGGTGGCTCCAACCTAGCCTCGCACAGCATACGCACTAGCGCCCTGCTTCTCCCGACGATAAGTTCTTCATAAGGAGGGGTGTATGACAGCAACGAGGGGAAGGGATAGCTAGGGCATCAGGCATCCCATGATGATTATCCGCTAGCAATCGCAATGGGAAGGAGCTGTTTGTTGTTTAGTGGCCTCAGTATGGAAGCGCATCATCTGCCTTGTATGGAGTCATATTTGAAGGTTGGTTAAAATATGTATTTTTTGTTGGCTTTTTTTGTTTCGGAGTTGGAACCTTCTCGTTTTGGACACTCGTTTTGCAAGGCCCAGATGCCCCGATCTCGCAACTGACTATCTCGTCGGCGATAAGGTGGCGGACGAGTTGTGGTGGGCTGCGGCCGACGCAGCCGGGGCTGCACCCAAAAGACGTGTGTGCAGTGGGTGGCTTCAGGACGAAAGCGGTTTCAACGGCCCCCGTCTCAAAGCTTACCTCCACTCCTGCACCATTTAGCATGGACCTGACAAAAGCTCCCTTTAAAATGGTCTTCCAGAACCCTTCAGGTTGGATGTTAATTGGTGGGAGGGTAAAAGAGAAATCCAAAGGAGGTGTTTCTTCCCAATGGCTCACGGATTTTTCGACCCAACTGTTAAGCTTTGCTTTTCTAGAAGTCTTTTTTGGGCAACAGGCCTGGGTATGGCTCTCCACATTCAGGGAGCCCGGTGGAACTTTCTGCAGATCCCACCTGGAGTCTTCAGTATGTTTTTCTTTCAGTCCTTTGAAGGTAAATTGTTCATTTCAGCTGCTTGCCTGTTTTGCTTGTCCAAGTCTAGTTTTGACCCCAAGCGGCTTATCTTCAATGTCTAAGTCTCTGAGGGAATGTGCTAGGTGTCACGACTTCCCGGCTCGAGCCAACATTTTGCGCCGTGCCATGTTGGCCCTTTGCGCTGAGCTCAGAAGCAAAATAGTTTTCCCTAGCTGCATCCCAACGAAACATCAATGCTTCTTCGCATTCTGCCACCGTTCAATCAGCCGCAGTCAGCGCAACTTGCCGAATGCAGGCATATGTTGTTGTCGGACATCATGTGCAAGGTAAAAAAAAGCAAGCAACAAAAGCAACATGCACGGAAGTTGCTGGCTGTGTACTAAATAAAGCGTCCGTCGCTCTCGTTGGCAAAAAGCTGCTGCCGATGGGCTGTCAGTGTGTCAAGGGCACCGCTGTCGAGGCCTGAGCCGAGATATGGGGAGGGCACTTGGCATGGCTATTGCATGGTTGTTGTTGGGAAGCAGTTGTATTTTGCTTATTGTGGTTTAGTGGGGAATCCCCACTTAACTGATAAAATCTAAGTTTTTGCTCCCCTTCCAACGTCAACCAAGATTTTGAGCCACTTTTGGATAATACTGAAAATACCAGAGAGATTCTACTGAATTTTGAAAAGCATCCGGTCCACAAACCTGCTAATTTGGAGACTCTGGGAATGTTGCATCCTTTATTTGGAACACCATGAGGAACCTGTCCGAGGAAACCGTGACTACAACTCCATAGCACATACAGGATTCGGATAGAGAAGCTTCTGAGGATGACTCAGGAGTGATTTCTCGATCCACACAGGGCCATTTCCGTGACAGCATTCTGAGTTCGTCGGAGGTCGTGGCTTTCACACTGAATGGTGTCTCCCGGGTTTTTCGCGCCCTGCCTGGCCGCTAGGCGACTGAGCCGAGACCAAATGGCAAGGCGGGAAGTGCGGCTTCAGTTGGGGCGGTGATGTCGTCAATGAATCCGGAGGTTTCCCTTGGGAGGTCATCCAAGGGAGGTGATACTTCTGGTTCCAAGGTGAGGAGATGTTCTGGACGAGAGCCATCCCTCAACACCGTGGAACAAGGCTCGTTCCAGCCCTACCGCCGTCTGGGCGCTTTGAGGCCTCACACGCAGGTGGCTTTGCTCATCCACGCGTGAGTGAAACGCAGGTACCGAGATACATATTAGCCATGGTTCACAACCAATGGGATCCCATTTTGGGATAGGTGCACCACCCATTTTAGTCTATTTTGGTGGTTGGATTGGTTGATGTTCACTCCATGGCCATGAGCCGCAGCCTTTATATTCAGCATAACGGAGTAAAAGTTGAGCCGAAACAAGTTTTGGGCAACATGCTGAGTTTGGTTCCTTGAACGAGATGGGAACACCCCCAATGAAAGGTTGAGATCACAAGCAAGGAGTCCAAACAGGTGCAGAGTTGGAGAACGAGATGGGAACACCCGACCATGCAAGCATGTAGCAGATATTTGCCGTAGCTCAATATCTATACATTGCATCCATTTACACATATGTGTGTTCGTCATACATTCGGGGCCTACGTGAAGCTTTGGGGCTGGGTCATTTATAGAGCCAGACGCTTCTCCACAGGTTCCGCATAAGCTGTGGACTGTGCGCAAGTCCTGTTGTCTCAGATCGAAACCGACCTTTTGAACTTTGAGTTTTCCCTGTGTTGTCCACATTTAGTAAAGGTCACAACAGGGAAACCTGTTATTTCTGGGTTCTTTGAGCAACTGATTTGTTGCTATTGTTTGTGTTCAGCTTTCTTGTGTTGGGAATTGCGTATCTTCTGTAGTGGACCCATAGATGTTGCCATGTTCTGTGCGCTGAATTCTGGTTGCACGTTGGTGTTTCCGCCGACCTGTTTTTTCTTCTTTTTTCGTTTGGACAGAGCAGTTTTCCGGAAGTTATGACTCGCACATTGATTCTGTTTGCAGTGGGCCGAAGTGCAATTCAGTTTAATGAGACATGCCCTCCAATGTCCCGCCCCCGGGGAGTGCCCTCGCAGCCTTGTGTTTCCCACCCGGAATTGCCGAGAACACACACCAGGCCAAGAGAAAGCCTAAGGGTTCAATCAAACCTGGGGCCCTGAGGGTACGATTTCGAGCCCAGGGAATATGAGAGCTGGCTCAAAGAAACCTAACCTCCGACTGACATAATGGGGTGAGCGACCGGATCTCGCAATCGCGAGGTGAGTGATCCCTGCGTCCTTTACAGATGCTGAATCAAGTCCAGGGTCTCGGTGGGGCTTCTTTTGTTTCATGTTTAGCATGCACCCGTGGGAAAGTATGTAGTGTTGACCTCGTTGACCCCTTTGTTTTTGGAGAATATTGTCTGCAGCCAGAAAGCCTGTTGTTCACTGCAGACGCTGGTTCGATAGGCCATCTCCAAAGACTTGCTGGCCAAGAAGGCATGGGGAAGTTCGGTTCCGATGCATCGCTCGCACTTGACCTCCATTGTCTCCCAAGTATTAAAGTCCTGTTCAAAAGTTGCGGGATTGAACTTACAGCCAAGCAACTGTGGAAGTGACACGTGCCTGGTGGCATCCGACAGTGCAAACTTCCTATCGGCGTTCTACCTCACAATTGCAGGGAGGTTTCAAACCGTTCGGGGTCCTTTTTGGTTTCTCCTTTAGGCGGCCTTCGTTTTGACACCGCCCCCCTCCCCCCCCCCCCCCCCCGTGTATCACCTCTTCTGTCTTTGGGTGTTTTTTTGTGTTCAAGGGACTTGATGTGGGGTGCACTGACATCGTTGAGATGTTGCTGTCTTTTATCCGATAGGTCTTGGGGGTGCTCTGTAAATGTCTTCCCGCAGCACCATTAACTAAGGTGGTGGAGCAGCAAACCAACATGTGCAAAAGCATCGAGTCATTCAACGAGTGGCTTCCCCATCAAGCAATTGCTGCGTACCGTCCCCTTCATCAAGTTGACACATGTTCCAGCAGCTCTCACCTGGGTGCACCGGTGGAAGCTTGTCTAGCATATCTTTTCTTTGGGCCTCGTTTTCTGCATGTGCCGGTGTTCAATGTTGAGCCCAAATCAGATCGCCATTTTGGTCAAGTTCCCCCGTGAAATATGCGGGGCGGAAAGGTTGGTCTGAAGGTGGGGTGAGAAGTACGTGTCCGTACATTCTGCTGTTACACAATCTCGCGGGTGCGCGTGGTCTTTTGCTTATAATAGAATGGCAACCCTCCGGTTGAACGGGGCCACGGACAGCGCTGCGAGCTGGAGATCTACACGCGGTGCCGCGTGTTTCAAACGGAACTTGTCTCAAGAGCTTGCCCCACTTGTCAACTTGACATGCCAGGCAAACTTAGGTGCCATTCTTGCCCAAGGCCGTACACAGGTTCAGTCTACTTGTCATGTTGAAACCACAAGCTGTTCTCATGGTTGTTGTTGGGACACATTATACATGTTTGCTTATTGTGGTTTAGTGGGGATTTCCCCCACTAAGCTGCTAAAATTTAAATTGTTGCTCCCCTTCCAAAGTCAACCAAGTTGCTTTCCGCAGTTTCTTTTTGGCAAAGTGAACATGTCTCAAGGCTTAGGAAGCTGGAGAGTCTTGCAGGCACCTGCGAGGTGTGATTTGATCAGAAGCTGCAGAAATCCGCCTAGATATGGCTGTGGTTGTCAAAACCAATGGGATCCCATTTTGTTTGGTAGGTGAACTCACCACCCATTTTAGGAACCTATTTTAGTGGGGATTAACATATTCACTGGGGGTACGGGGTTTTGACCCATAGCCATGTATGTTGTTTCCGCTGATTTCTAGCTCCCTCTCTCCAGCCTCTTTCGTGGCCCGAGGCTCTTTTAGAAATGCTTGTGTAAAGCCAGCACGGAGTGCTTGCCCCCTGCTTGCCGCAGGATTTTTTTGTGCCCACAGGACATGGAGTGAACACACTTGTGTGTGTGTGTGTCAGTGAGGGACACCTCTGGGTGATTTCCTCGGCCGCTGTTTCAACTGATGTGAACTTCCCCGACTGAAAGCCTTCAAGCATGCCGCCTGACGTTGAATTGCTCCAACTCAGCGGACTAGCAGGTGTCACCCCACAAAAGCAACTCAACCTTCTCTGATGGTAGGTCTTCACCCCACAAAAGCCCCTGAACCTTCCTTGATGCTAGGTCTCCTCACCCCGCAAAAGCAACTCAGCATTCTACAATGCTAGGTCTTCACCCCACGACAGCAACTCAACCTTCTCTGATGGTAGGTCTTCACCCCACAAAAGCCCCTGAACCTTCCTTGATGCTAGGTCTCCTCACCCCGCAAAAGCAACTCAACATTCTATAATGCTAGGTCTTCACCCCGCGACAGCAACTCAACCTTCTCTGATGGTAGGTCTTCACCCCACAAAAGCAACTGAAAAGATTCTCAGGTTCCACCGGTGCCTTCGTGTCGGCTTCGTTTTTTTTTGGAAGCTTTGGCGAGGTGAGCCAGGCCAAGACCACTCGTGTTCTGGCGCTCAGGGAGCTGGGGCACCCGAGTCGAATCGGAATCTGATACTTTTGGACGGGGTCTCGGCGTTCCTTTTCGTTGTCT